CGAGGGCAGGCACCAGCCCCGGCCCAGGGCTGGAGAGCCCCAGCCTCGGTTCTGGCCTGCCGACAACCGCCCGTGTACATGCACGGAGCGCCCCAGCTGCCGGGCTGCCACCACAATGGTTACCAATCAAACATGTGATCACATGACGTTAAATATTGTGGTTCCAAACAAATTGCAAACACAACCCTGACACAAGCACTGTGGACCGACATGCGTGTTCATTGCTAGCCCATCTATATCACCACTATGAGCTCTGTGTTGCTGCTATTGGTGGGCTGAGCATTGCTGCCAGTTAATCTAGAGTCTGTCTCGACGGTAATTGCACAAAAATATAATTCCCGCTGCCTGAGTCGAACAAGCGACATCGTCATGCCATTGCGTAATTAATTATTACGTAATATACTAGTGACGCGCTCTACCACTGAGCTAAGCGGGAGTTATCAAACTATGAGCATATGTTCATCTCCTTTGGCGTTTCTCCCGGTATAGATAATTGAACCGAGCTGTGCACCTTCTTGACGTACAACCCGTATGTCCTCATCTAAAACATGTCAACCATGCACGGCGACGACAGAGAATCGCTGAAAACCCCTCGTTTGTTGCATGAATGCGAGCCAAGAACAAAGCTCATTAAACACACACAAGGGGTAGAAGAAACTATACAGAGGTCGTTCGTAGCATAGAACCGGCAGGCGCTGCAACATGTCTGCACTTGGACGTGATTCCTGCACGCTGTAGATGAGACGAATGGATCTCCAGATTGATATCAAGAGCCCACCCTCATTTTTTGTCCTGCCCACACCGTGCACGTCTTTTCACTCGGCAAATCTACACACCTTGACCTAGTAAATCTCACTCACCCGGGCTCGAGGGCGCCGTGTGGAACTTGTTGCGGGCGCTCCCAACTGTTCAAGGATTTGCTGACAAAGAAAGACCCTTAGACCCCTCACTTTTGATTGAAGCAATTCTAGGGGATCGACCTTTCTTGACCAACCCAACCAGCCGAAACAATCTTGAGAGTGATTGTATTATCTTTCGGCTTTTCCGCTCAGTCGTCGTGTTACTAGAGGCCCAGGCCATCACATGTCACTTATCGTTTTTTTGGGCTACATGAACGTGACTTACCGGTTCCAAAACGGCTCGGAGAGTCGTTGATCAGGTGAGACAATAACACACAGAGGGCTGTACATGTGGTGTACTATACAGGGTTAAGAGCAAGCTTGAGTGACGTGGCTCGAGGATCTACGCATTCATGCTGGCCCACACACAATGGCGGAAAGGGAAACAGAGTTACGCGCCGGTTCAAGAGCATGGAGTAACTCAAAAAGAACATATCCTCAGTGTGAAATTTGGGACAGGTGGTAAGTGGTCGAAAAATCGGTGTTCCATGAAGCAAATGGGGGTGGCTTCGCATTAACTTAAACAGTACACCTTTGTATTTAGTTCAGGCTCTGGATTTTTTGCCATGTTCCGCAGGAGTAACTCACATTGAATACGGATCGAATGCTGAAAGTCGTTCCTTGGTTCGCGATGAATGCTGTGTGGAGCCTATTTGCAATTATCGAAAATGAAAAACGAGCGCCTTGGCTGCTCAAGGCGGTGCTGGGCGCTTAGCCCTCACCATATAAGCCTCAGCGCGGCAACCCTGCCTTCGCCTGAATCATGTCCAACTCTTCAGGATTGATTTGCTCTCCATCCTCCACGAACATTACTAACTACTGTGTTGGCATTACTGCCAATCCAGACATCTCGGTGAGCGTCATTTCGCCAAAGGGCCTACTGAGCTAATCCTGTTGGTTGTTCTAGGGAATCGGGGTAAGCCAGAGTGTACATACGACCCATGGGGTGCTGATCCAGTCTCTAGGTCCGTGTCGCTATCTATGCTCAGACGTTCCTCAGCATGGTGAGTCGGGTGTAATCTGGCCTTTCACTGGCGCCCAACCCCCAAGTCTAGATCGTTGCGTCTCTGTTGCCCTACCACGAGAAAGCTTTTCGAGATACCTCGCGAAACTCCTATGTAGTATCAGGGAGTTTGATTATTGCTTCTCTGATTGCGTGGAAAACAAACAACCTGAGTCTTTTCGATGGCCTTGTGGTAACGATGGTATGTGACCACGCGGGGTTTACAATACCAACTAACGAATGTATAGCTAACGACTATTATGACGGCGTTCGTGACGGTCAACGGTCCCTATGTGCGTCTCATCCCCTGAACCCAGGTCACGTACTCACAAGTCTCCAGATTCGTACTCTGGGACTCTCTATCAACATTGCTAGTTTATTGTTCACCACTTTCTGGTGCTATTGGGGCCTCCAAATCTGGGTTGACCCATGGAACTTTGGTCTCCCCGCCGGCTACGAAAACTGCGTAGCTAACCAGCTAACTGTGTTTGTGGTCTTTGGGCACACGGTTAACGCTACCAGTCGTGGGTTGCGCGGATTTGCGATCTTCATCTTTGCTATTGGGGCCATTTCTGCGATCTCAGCACTGTGGAAATCGTTTACATGGTTGATCAGGTATATCGCTGGGGATCCGCAAATAGCCAAGGACAATGCGGCTACACGGTACGCCAAGGAGATCCGCCGGAAGAATCGAGGTAGGCATTCTCATTTTATCCCATACTTGACACCATGTTTATCCTTAATGCCAGGCACCAACTCTGGCCGTGCTCAACACATCACTCGATATGGCGGTATGGTGGGCATGATCTACATGATAATCACTACAGAACAAATCGTCGCACGTAATCCAGGTGTAAAAGGTGACCTGAGCAAGTGGACGTTTGGTCAAACGATTGCATTAATTATGCTTGCGCAACAAGTTATGGACTGCTTCTCATACTTCAAAGAGTACATTCTGGAGAGGCATAGGCAATTAGAACGGGACAGGCGGCGCAACCATCCCGGTTCTAATCAGCCATAAGTACCCTGATTTCATCTGCTAGATAACGCTGTACGTTGCTCTGCTTATTGTGTATACCGCGATATCTGTGTCATGTTTTGGCCAAGACCAATGTATTTCGGTTTTGTATACCTGTCACACAAGCGCCGAACCGCCAGCACCCCTTCAACAAATTTCACCATCAGGGCAATCTCGGGATGAACCTTTGTGATTTTTCCGTCCTTAACAATTTCTTTTTCAGGCGACAAAAGGTCCTTGTCACCAGCGCAGACACAGCCGGTTGCCACCCGCTAGAACGGCACGCCCTCCCCACTGGGTATAACTCTAGCACATGTCACCCTCAGTGCCTTCCTGCTCTCCTGTCTGGATCCGCTCTAGTCTATACCCTTTGATTATTCTTAATCCCGGTTAAGTGGTCATGTCGTGCAGCGCCGATGATGCTACGCCCGACTATTGTATGCAGATCACGTCTAATCCTGACATTTCAGTGAGCGAGATTAAACGGTTATTTTCCAGAGCTTGAACTAACAACTTTGGTTACTAAAGGGCATAGGCGTAAGTTACATGCCGTCCGCCCTGATCCTCAATCTAATTTGTGGCAAAATAGGTCAGATCAGCTATCTACGTGCAAACATTCCTCAGCATGGTGAGTGACCGTGGGCCCTTTTATTAATTCAGACTAACACCCAAAGACTAGTGTGTGGCATCTTTCTTGTGGGACAATGAAAAGGCATTTCGAGATACCTGCCGAAATTCATATGTGGTGTCTGGGAGTCTCATCACGGCCACGCTTGTTGCTTGGAAGATGGACCAGCTCAGCCTTTTCGATGCACTGATTACGTCCATGGTAAGTTTTTACGATGGGAACCGTCTGCTGGCGTCTGATTCTGATATATGTGTAGCTTACGACCCTCATGACGGTTTTTGTGACCGTCAACGGACCCTACGTGAGTCTCGTCCCCTTGATTTTTGCACTGGGCATTAACAACCTAATAGATTCGTACTCTTGGCCTGTCTATCAACCTTGCCAGCCTGCTTTTCACCTCGTTCTGGTGCTACTGGGGCCTTCAAGTCTGGGCAAATGTCTCGACATTCAGTCTTCCTCCTAATATGCAAAACTGCACAGCAAACGAAAGCACACAGTTCATTGTATTGGGCCATAGTATCAGTGCTCCAAGCCATGGGCTGCGCGGATTCGCCCTCTTCGTCTTTGGCTTCGGAGCTCTTTCCGCACTCTGCGCGCTCTGGACTACTATCCGCTGGGCAATTGAATACAGGTTTATGGGTTCGGAAAAGGCGAAGCAAAAGGCCCAAGAAGACCTCGCTAAATGGCAACGTTTAAGGAGGCAGAGAGGTGAGTGGTCAGCCCTCTCGTCCACGATGGCGCTTATATCTTGATATCTAGGGAGCCACATTACGCATGTTAATCGCTTTGGTGGCCTTGTGGGTTTAATATACATGATTATCACCATTGAGCAGATGGTGGCTCGAAACCCAGACGCGAGCCAGTCGTTACGGAATTGGACGTTTGGCCAAACACTTGCGCTCATTATGCTTGCCCAGCAGCTTCTAGACTGCGCATCTTATGCCAAAGCAACGCGCGAGGCCCGTCGGGAGGCGCAAAAATATGGGCTTGACCAACCTCGAGTGTGAGTGTTTCAAGAGGTTGAATGAGATTCACTTGATGTTCTTTTACGAGCGAGATACCATGTAGTTATAATTGCACCAAGCCCAATAAACAACTGTAGCCATTTGTCCATGAGAGCTGAAAGGTTGCCCCGGAGGATTATCCCCTAACGCAAGACCGGCTATTGGACTAACTAGCACGGGTGGAGCTGTATTACTACCCTACGAAAATCTGATTTGCCAAGAGAATTGGGCGGGTACCGTCGGCACTCTCGCATCACCCATGATCTTGGAGGTTCGCTGGCAAGCAGGAGGGAACTCTTATCGAGACGGATGTAGGAGTCCCGCAGCGCACAAATACATACAAGTTTCCGAAATACACTTTGGGCAAACTGCTGGCACCTGTGGCTCGTGGCTACGGTTGGAATGCAAGTGGCCATGCACAAGCCATCCAGGGCGAGACGAAGCACGACGGCTTGGCAGCAACACGCGAGCCGGGCCGGAGGAACGTTGGATGCGTACTATATGCGTTTGAAATGGCCGCCAACCTGACGAGATGACTCTTTAACCACCCTAGGCGTTTTGTGTCTCCCACGTCCCTGGTATGTTAAATCTCTGCCCTCACACTGGTAGCAGGCATGTTCTAGTCCCCCCCTCAATACCCCCCAATTCTCGTCTACACCATGGTTCGTAGTCTTTTTTTTACTCTGCCGTTCTTGGTATCCTCAGCTACAGCGGTTCTTTGGCCCCCTGGCAACCAACAACTTTGGATCACAGCCTACACCGGTGCTATCTCGACCTTTACGTTCGATGGTAGCACGCTGGCCAACGTCTCTACCACGTTTGACGCTGGGTATCAGCCTGGCTGGGTCGCGAAACATCCATGGCTGCATGTCTTGTACATCCCT